CTATAGGGTGAGATGACTATCACCTCTCTCGACTTCTCTGTCATTAGTGGGCTCGAGTTTTGATCGGCTCCACTTCTTGCAAATGGGATGCACACTCTAGCTTCTCTCGAGAATGCAGTGTTGCTGGGTCCTATTGTTCACAGAGCCGATGCTGAGGCTCAGAACAAGGATTCGAGCACGAGAACGATTTGTAGAGCACTGCTTGCGGAGGCCTTTTATGATGTTGCGACTACCCCAAAGCAGCAGGTTTGCATCTTTGTTCTTCTTCTCATGTCGGGGACCTTTTCTCCTGACAGGGGAAGCCGTGCTTTATTGCACTACCTTTCTGCACTGCGCGACCTTCAGTGGGTCGGCACGTACGTCTAGGCCAGCCATGGCTATGCTGATCTACTCTTGAGGCTACGGTCGGCGTGTCGTCAACAAATATCTCTGTCTCTGGATTTTGGAAAGTCGTGGAGGTATATCTTCTCCTAGTTTTGTGATTTCAATCTTGTCCTTGATGTTTATCAACTCTTAGATTTTCCGACCTTTTTCGCAGGTTTGGCTCTACGAGTACTTCCCTTCATTGGCGCCAGCAAGGCCTCGAGCTAGAGGCCTCCCGATAGGTGCCAGTTGGTAGGATCGTCGTGCTAGTTTGACTTCTGCTGCCGCTGTTAGGGCTACCATACTCGAGGTGAGGGCACTCTTATTTTTATTCCTTTTGGTTTTTATTGACAAATTATTTGACTTATATCTTTTTCGTTGCAGCGCCCTGAGGTCCAGTATCGTCCATGGGCTGACTTGGGAAATTTTAGGCTGGCCTTTCAGTATGCTACCGAGAGGCATTTCTTCTAGGGTACCTATGACGTGGTGTGGTACCTAGGCGAGAGAGTGGCCATCCAGACTCCTCGACCGTTCCTGGGGTTCTTGCTGATCCTCCTGCTCAGATGATGAGTCAAGAGAGGCTCCTGGTGCACACTGCCGATGGCGTTATAGTCAAGGACTAGCGGAGACATAGCTACCGAATGTCCTTATGCGGAACCAATACTTCCTCAACTAGCTCGCCCCGCCTTACCGCGAGGAGGAGGTTTGTGAATCTTTCACCAGCCATTTAATCTTTTCTATAGCCTCCAACAGTGTTTAACTATTGGATCTTACTTTTGTAGGAGTCAGAGGAGCCTGAGGAGTTTGAGCCCCATGCATGTCCATTCTCTATCAGGGGATTCATGGACCTATCGAGGAGATGGTCCCTCCAGCCCTGGAGGAGTGGCAATCAGTGTAGCGATCCATTCCCCATAATCAGACATGGGTGAGTTCTCACCCCTCTCTTTTGTTCGATATACATATTTTCTTGTCTTTCTAACCTTCTCTGATCTTGCAGTTTTCAATTCTCGCGAGGTGGTAACGCAGATGGTATCCGCTATGAATGCATTTCATTACCGGTTGGCGAGGTGGAGCCACCGGGCGTCGTGTCGACGTACGGGGGATGTTGTAAAAATTAAAGTGATCATGAAAATGAATGTTGTTTTGCTTTATAATGTTACATACAAATTCTATCTCAATACTATTGTTGATAATTGATTACAAGACGGCTCGGAAAAAAAAAAAAAAAAAACAAAAAAAAAACGTAAAATTTTGGTGTTGTTTGGTTGGTAGATAGTTTTCTTGGAAATGGAATTTTCTAGGAAGTATTAAAATAAAGGCGATTTGGTTGGAGGGAAAAAGGTAAACATGGGAAATAACAATCTCACGGGAAATACAAAATCCCACAACCCATGGGAAATTACTCACCAACTCCCCAGTTGGTGAGTTGAATTTCCTAAGAAATGCAATTTTCAATGGTGTCAACCAAACAATTTAAGGAAAATTATAAGGTTAAAAATTTCCCATGAAATATAAATTCCCATGTGAAATAAACGAGCAATTAAGGTATAAATATTGTCGTTAATTTTTTTCTCCATTGTCAATATTGGGTCAATTTTGCTTATCATTAATTTATAAGAGAATATGAGTCCATATCAGCGCATAACAGCTATGGGCGTAGCAAATGTATAGGACGGCAGAAGCGTCATTTACCAGGCATTAAGAACAAAAGTGGAAGGCTGACTGTGTAGTATCCCGTTATTTTTCAAAAACCAATTTCATTACCTTTAAAGCTTATTCTCTCTCCTCCGTTTCTAGTTTTCTCTCCACTCTTTCTCCTCCCTGAAGGTCCTATACTCTGTTCCAACGAAGACGATAGGCCGGTGGTTGTCGCCGGAGAAAGAGTAGAATTATACTGCAGTGTAAGGGTGCGTAAATTGTAGGTAGCTGCTACTAGCTTCGTCGTTTGATTGAAGGTATGGGCGCAAAACACTTCTCGAATTAAGATTTTCTGTGTAAATGTTGTAGTTGTGACTTTTTTATGTTATGAAGTTTTAGTTTATGTAACTTAATGTTTTCCAGTGAATGTAGCAATTTAGGGTTACCTCTATTGTGCATTTGTTTAATTGGTAAAAATTATTAGTGGGCGTCGTCTTAAAACCCTTAATTGGATTGAATTTGCTTTTATGATGTTTTAGTTTATGTGATTTACGGTTATCTAGTGAAAATAGCGAAGTAGGGTTTCCTTTGTTCTGCATTTTTATTGTTGGAATTAATTTAAGGATGTGAAACCCGTAATTGGAATGAAATGAATTTGTTGTTATGATGATTTAGATTATGTTATGCTTTGTTAACCACTGGAAATTTGCGACCCGTTGTTGTTTAAATATAATGAACAAGCAAAATTGTTTTGGGTGTGGTGGTAGGATTGTTGAATTAAAGTATTTAATTTAATTTGAATCCATGTAAATGAGTGATTAATTTTGAGTTTTTTGTGGTGGTAGACGTATTGAATTATGAACAAGTGATATTGTTACATTAAGAAACTATGACTGTTGTGGTATGTATATGTGAATATAGTGGAGAAATTACATATGAAGAGTTAAGGGTTCGTTGAAATGGTTTTATGTAGTTGGGAATCCCATTTATCGAGCGTTCATTTGAACTTGGCAGGAGGAAATAATGCCGCCGAGGAAGAGTAAGGGATCAAGAATGGTGAGTTATTTTTTGTTAAAATTAAAAGATTGTGTGTTTGCTGGATTTTCTTAGTGGTGGTTGTGTGTTGTAGTTGATTTTTGGTGGCAAATATTTGCGTTTTTGTAGGCGCAGTCGAAAGCCGTGAATGAAGAGGTGCCCAAAAAGAAAGCAACTAGTAAAGGGAAGAAGAAACTGAAATCTGATCTAGTTTTTTGAGGTAGAGTATTTAAAGGACTATGATGAAGCTGGTTATGATGATCGTGGTTATACTGAATCTAGTAGTGATGAAGCTGTTTCTGATGATGCTGTTTGCACATATGGTGATTACGAGGAAGATGAAGATGCGGAGGACGATGGTCAAGGTAGTGAGGAAGAACCAGAACAGGACAAAGTGAGCTACCAGGATCTCCTGATCAAGTTCTTGCGGGAAAAGGTTGATAAAGGGAAGCGCAAGCGAGGTCATATTGAGAAAAGGACAAGAAAAAGGGGCAAGCTAAAGGTATGTCATGTTAGATGGAAATGAAAAAAGCTTATTTGTTGTGTAATACTTGGATGGGGAAATGAAATGTGTAATGTCATGTGTAGGTCGAGAAGACGAAGGGAGAAGTGGCGAAGGATAAAGGGGTTGTCGTTAAAACCCAATCAAGAAGTACGCAGAAGGTACTGAGTGAACATTATTTGTTGAAATCCATGACATGGAAATGTCTGCTGGGATTTCTGTGGTTAGTCCTTTGTTTTGTTTAGGTAGTTGGGTAAATAAACTGAATTACTAAAGATTAATTGTAAATTGTAGTTTAGTTGTAAGTTAAGTATGAATATTGTGAGTCCTTAATTGGATGTGCAAGATTAATCTTTAGTAATGAAGAGGAATGAATGTAACACTTTTCTTACTTTTGATGGAAGGAAGCAGAAAATGACAGTATATGGGATTGTATAATTAGTTTCTATTTAGGTGCTTTATATGGAAGGACAGTTGCTGTAATTTGTTGTAATTTAGTTGGAAATGTAAAAAATTGACGTACCCTAGAAAGGAATTGGTTGGAAATGAAGAATTTGAGTAACCTAGAAGGAATTTAATCAGTTAGTGGTGTTATTATGTGAGGCTTGTGCCGGTGTCATTTGATTGAAGTTTATGTTGTTTGAATGTAATGTTGTAGGCCCCAAATTGCATGGTGTGAAGGCTTTTGCAACTACAGTGAAGAAGTTTGATGACTCTAGGAAGAAACTGGTCACAAAATTGGGGTTTGGAGGGTTGTTAAGTATACCCCTGACTCTTGTACCCCGGAAGTTTGTGTACTGGCTGTTGACAAGGGTGATGGGTGATGGTTCCATAACTTTTGGAGATGAGTTTGTGCTTCCTTTGAGTCCTCTGCAGGTCGAGTACGTACTTGGGATTCCCATGGGGTCGAAGGAATTGCCTTGTACGATTCCTGAGGATAAGCAGGCAGAGCATAGCAGAATTTTGGAGAAGTTTGGGAAAAATGAACACATTTCATTAGTAGCTGCGTTGGGGGCACTAATTTGAAAGGATGACGAAGGTAATGTGTTGCCGCTGTCGGATGACGAGAAGGCTGATTCAAAGATAGCCTTTCTCATAGTAGCTCTAGGCTACTTATTCTGTGCTACGGGGAACACAAGCTATCTTGGGGTGAAGCTTGTACCATCGTTATTGGTTTACGATGAAGAGGATGAGTATGACTGGTGCAGTTATGTATTTAACTGGATGGTTGCCGCAACCAGGAGTTTCCAAAAGAAATTTGCTCGTGATGGATATGTTGCAGGTTCACTAGTACATAATTGAGTTTATGTAACACGTTTTAGTAACACTTTTTGAAATGCAAAATTATTAGATTTATAAGTAACACTTTGGTAACATTTTTTTAGAATGTAACACTCAATGTAACACTTTTATCATAAGTAACATTATAAAGTAACACTTTTGAAATAGGTAACATTTTATGGTAACACTAAACTTCTTTTTTTTTTTTTTTTTTTTTTGGAAAAATATGGTAACACTAAGTCACTAACCTATTTCTATATCACCCCTAGTAACAAATGACATTTTTGTCCTTTCTTTTTCTTTTTTCTCTGTTTTGGTTTCAGTTTTCCCTTTTTACTTAATGTCTTCTCTCTCCTCTAAGGTGAGGCAAAACAAGCTGCGAAGGAAGAGGACGGAGCAGCTGGAGGACCCACGTCATAGTAAATAGCACCGGCGAGATGGACCATCAAAAGAGCGGTGTCAACTGCAGAAAACACGCCACTTTTAACAATAGAAAGCTGTGAGTTTTCTTTGATATTTGATTTCGCATTGTCAATATTTTCAATCTAGGGTTTTTTGGTGCTTATTCAATGCAAAGGGTAAAATTTTTGGGTTTTTAAAGATTAAGTAATTTTGATTATTGATTAGTGTTTTGTTATTCATTCTGATTTCCGCTATTACTTGAATTTCATCCTTTTTCTTCGAATTTTCTTCTTTCTATTACAATTTTGTGAATTGTTTTATTCTTGGGTGTATGATGGTTTTGATGAAAATAGTTGTTTTAAATAGGCATTTGATTGAGTTAATTAATTCCAAATTGTGGTAATTTATTTCTCTTATACGTTTATTTTTTATCTAAGGCGAAACTTCTTGGGTTTTTATTGTTTCGTCAGTGTGGCGGCCAAAGCAATGGGCTTGGTGATCAAGGTAGAGATCTCGCATTTCTAGCAGAAATCAACCAACATCTTAAGGGAATTGTTATAGGTTTTTAAAAAAGAATCGTCAATGGCGTACATAACCATGGGTGGAGCAGAGTTGTCCGCATTTGAGGTAGAAATGAACCAGCCTTTTAGTCTTATTATCAGTTCTTTTTAATCAACCAAGGAGTTCTTCAATAGCTCACCTCCTACTCCTCTGATTTATTTTAGTACCTTTATCTCTGATATTTAAAGATTTATTTTATTGAAACCTGAATTTCAATCATATTATATTGATTTATTCTTTCTAATTATACGAAGTATGATTTGTTTTTTATTCTGATCAATAAATTTTGAAAGTCATTCATCACACCCCCCCCCCCAATGTGGGTGATCTTGATTTTGAATTAGTGAGAATTTTGGGAGACAATTCGTCAAAGTTTTAATTAAAATTATTAGATAAATATGGTTGGTCATATTGTTGGGTTCAAATTTGAAGAGGTCTTTAAGGGGAATTGAGATTAATCATCTGAATGCATTAGTACATCTCATAGGATGCTCTTTGAGAGGTGACAGAACACTGATATATCTTCCACCACATAGACTTTTGAAAAATGTCATAGATATTGGGAGTGACCTACTAAAAAGCCAAAGACAAACAAGTTACATATGCTAGATATCATAGAAATAAATAGCATTTATCTCATGAAATTTGTAAAACCACAAAAAGAAACTTGAAAATAGATATTATCAGGAGAGTGTAGCTGAATAAGCTCAGCGATAGCTTGCATCCTCTTATGTACCTCTAAGTTTTTTCTGAACCACACATTATATGTAAGGATCTTTATCACACCTGAATTTCGGAATTTTCAGCAGTTTCCTTGGAACTAAACTGCTTGTTTTCGCCTTTCCAAGCCATTTTCAGAATCCAATAAGCAAGATACAATAGATCCTAAAATGAATTATTTCTATGAAGGACTTGAATTATAAGAACTATAGAGAGCCTGAATCTTACAACAATGAATAGGAACAACAAATAAGTGACTGGTAAATAAAATAACTTTAGAATAGAACACAACAAAATTTTAGCACTTTTAAATGAATCAATAATGTCCATGGGAGTACTTGGTAATCTGAATTGTGTTGTTTCAGAATTAGATTAAAAAAAATTGATAGTGGACATTAAAAATTTTAAAGAAGTAATTTAAATGAGTTTCAAAGCATCCTACAAAATTCACACTAACCTTCAATTGGGTGTTACTTGAGGTTAATTATGTACTAGTGTCTTTTCTTTTTAGTTTACATTTGATTTTTCTATATATCATTCTCTTTTGTATTCTCAAATTTTGTGATGTGAGTGCCCTGTGCTTTTTAGTCGATAAGAGGTTCTAAACATATTAGCAAACCGTTTGAGTGATGCTTGTGGAATTTACCTGTCCACCATATTGTATAACTGCAAAGGTGAAAATTTTCTTTTTTTATATGTTCTAATTTGGTTTCAGTAATTCCATGAAATACTCAAGTCAATTCTCTTGGTCTTACTTTGTAGGACTTTATAGTCTGAACTCTGGATATTGAACAATGTTCGATCAAGTCCAGAACAATTCTTAGAGTTTCTGGTACTACATCATCTATCATGCTTAAGGGATTGACAACTCAATATATAGTCAGTAGCAGTTTCAAGGTACACTGCATTCTCCTCTCTGTGATTATTGACTATAAGCCTGGTAAATTGTAAATTTAACATCTCATAATGAACTTCAGACTAGGACTTGGTTCTAATACTTTCCCTTGTTTCTGGTGTGTATTTATAAGTGAAGTTATGCTCGCCCATGACAATGACCTAGTTGTATGTCTAAGTATGCTATTCAACATTCAATTTGATGACAGCTGTTAGCACAACACACATGTCAGTTATCATTGGCATATCTTTTTACTTGTTTTATAAGTCATTAAGTACCTTGCATATGAAAACATATACCTTAAGAACCACTCATGAAGTCTACACTTCTAGTGAACATGTGTAGCAAGTATCATCTCAGTCTGTTTCTATTGAAGGCACAAACAGTACCACAAGTTTATTTTTAAGAAGAGATTTTTTTTCTTCGCGTTATTCAGATCCAAACTTTAGAATGATCAGAGGAAAGGGTTGTTATTAGCTGTAATATTGTCTATTCTTCCAACTTATAAGCTGTAGTATTAAGCTGTTTCCTTATAGCTGAATTAATGCAGAGAGAAGTAAATTCTTGCCCACTTCTTCATAGCAAGTATATGTCCTTAGGTTTTGATGCTTGCTTGATGCTACTGCTGCTGGTGTTGCCTGTTGCTGTTGGTCGGCTTATGTGCTACTGATGTTCAGCTTCCGAGTTTTTGTTGTTCTGTTTCCGAGCTGCTGATGTTCTGTTTTCGAGCTGCTATTGTTTTGCACATTGTAATTTTTTATTTATTTGTTGTAATTGTAATATTACAAGCATTTATTAATAAAATTATCTATGTTTTATATATGTATATATAATGGTTTGTCTATCAATATTACTTTTTTTTTTCTTTTCTAGGCATAAAGGGCACCAATTCAAGGGAAGAACTTGTGCCCTTTATTGACATTAAGGGCACCATTTTAGCCCTTGAACCGGTGGCCAAAACCTCTGTCATGGGAAACCCCTAAAAAGGCACCGGTTCAAAACTGAAGCCCTAAGCCGGTTTTAAACTAGTGCCCATTACACTTTCTACTAGTGAATAATAATAAATGTTACCAATAATTTAACAAGGTGCTACCTTACTTTGCAAAAAGTGATACATAATGTCCAATATAGTGATACTATATATCAAAAGATGATTGAAAAGTGTTACCTAATAATCAACAAGGTGTTATATTAGTTCGTAAAAGTGCTACACAATGTCAGATAGTGTAACTATATGATTAAAAGTGTTACTAAAGATACATAAGTGTTACGTAAGAAATAAAAAGTAACACTTTAAAAATGATACTTATACTATTAAAAAGTGTTACATAAGAGGGTTTATAGTAACACTTTTAAAAGTGTTACCATACGTTACCCGAAGTGTTACATAAGACCTTAGGTAACATGGGCAGATGTATCACCCACTAAAGTGTTACCTATTGTCTATAATAACACTTTTACCACTTTATGTAACACTTTTTGGGTGTTACTTAAGGTTAGTTATGTACTAGTGGTTGTGGGGGTTGTATCCTTTTTTTGTTGGTGTGTAAAATTGGGTATTTGCCTCCGTACACCAAAAGCTTTTTGAGTAAATTTATTAAATTTTGCAGTCTTCTCGTTTGTAATGGTTAGTTGAACTAAATCATCCATCCCGTCCTTTATTTGTAGGTTTTTTATCTAGATCACCTCAGCCGCATCCCTATGAGGTGGGATGTGAGACCGAGACTGGAGGCATGGTCCGAAGAAAAGATCAATGAGGCGGTTGGCGATGACAAAAAAGAATCTGGGGATTTCGGAAAATTGCCGGTTAGTACTAGTTTGACTTTCATTTGATGTGAATACATCCCTGCTAAAGCTGTTGTGTTTGATTCTTTTTCAGTCTCTAGAAGTAGCGTATGGGAGCCGCATCCGTTGAATCCTCGGGAGGTTCGAAAGCAAAGGGTGGAAAGCGTAGATATGCAATAGACTACGCATGAGGTAGATTTGGAAAATATTACGCAGCAGGTATAATGCAAGTCAATGATAGTGTTAGATGTAGCTCTGTAATTTATAAAATAAGTGACATGTCCTATGGCAGTTGTTAATAGTTTTTATTTATGCTTTCCTGAAGGTGTTGGATAGAATTACTCTAAAGTTGGTGGCTGTGATGGATTTGAAATTAGCTGACGTTATGAAATCAATGCATAAGCTGATGTCACAGTGTGTTAACGTAGCTAATGACCGGAGAGTGAGTAGGGGGGACCCAACGGAGAGGGGTAAGCCAACGGAGAAGGAAGTTGTTGTGCATGAAGATGAGGAAGCCAATGGAGAAGGAAGTTGTTGTGCATGAAGATGAGGCTTTGGGCTGTTGTTTGTTGGAGAAGGAAAAACTGAAAGAAGGTGCGAACGCAGTTGGTGGGAAAGAGCCTGATGCTGATGCAGTTTTTGGTGAAGATGACCTGGACCGTGTAGTTCAAAAGATTTCGGATGATCCACTGTTTGTAGAGGCTGGGGTGTGGTCAAGGTGGTAGGGGATGAATCCAAGGTGGTTGGGGCTGATGAAGGTGTTATGTTAGAGTTCCAAGCCTGGTTTTCTGATCATGAAGTAGATGATGAGAACATGGATCCTGGACCTGAAATAGTTGTGGGCTTGCTTGGGACGAGGGGAACTACTGTGTCGGTTGATGCTCTGTGTAGTTTGGAAAATTCATCTTCATCTGCTGAGGAAGATGAGTTTGCTGGGAAAGGGGTCGAATCTAGTGATAAGAGGGTGGTGAAACCTACCAAGGAAGCCTTGTCATCCATGTTCACCAATGTGTCCAACACTCGTTGCCAAATAACGGTCGAGGCACGTCTGCTGTAGTTTGTAAAGCGCTGGACGGACCTGAACGATCCACTTAGGTAATTCGAAAACAAGTAATTGAGTGAAAAGTCTTTTTTGTGCATGCTTTTTGTAAAATTTTGGTTTAAATTGCGAATTCTAATATGGATCACAGACGGTATCTCCCCATGGCCTTTCGCCTCTGAAAGCGTCTTTCCTTCTCAATGCCCGGACATCCATCCAATCCATTCTTTTCGATCTTGTACGAAAGTACACTGAAGACCAACCCAATCTCGACGAAAAAAAGAAAAGCGTTATCGAAGCAAGAAAACGACTTGCGTGACGGACATCACATGGAGATCCTAATCTTAAAAAGAAAGGGGGGAATATGGCGAAATCAGTAGACGCTACGGACTTAATTGGCTTGAGCCTTAGTATTCTAAAAAAAAAGAAAATACTAAAATATTCAAAAATTGTCGAATGACTAAATACGGTTTCTTAGTAATAACTAACAACAGTTTGTGTGATTTTTTCTATTTTAAATAGAGTATTTTTGAATAGAATCTAAAAAATTCCTAAAGCTCGATTTGCATCATTGTGCTTGATAAAAGGAATGAGGGAATCTCCAATAGAAAAATATTGGCGAGAATGCCGTTAGAATTAATAATATCCCTGTAGCCCCCCGGGCGAGGGCATTTCTGCTGTTTATGTGTATACTTGGTGTTATGTTGTTGTTTCACTTCATAGCCCTGGTATGGTGTTGATAAAGTGTGACCACATGGAAGCCAACCATAGGGATTGCTATGAAGTGGTGCACCATAAATCGCAAGTTTCTAGTGATTACGTTAGAATGGCCAGTGTGTTGTACACCAAGCAATGGGCCACCAAAGACTTTTGGAACAGAAGCAAGCATATTTTGCTTGACCCAAGCTTTTCGGTAAGTGGTTTGTGGTTCATTTCAGCTGTGGGGTGTCATATTTACATGCACAATTGATGATGATGCTTGTTGTGTTTTTTTGTCTGCATCGTAGAATCGACTGTTGTTGAACGAAGGAAAAGAAGAACATATTTGTACCAAGTATGCCAAATTTCTCCTGAGCTTTAAACTGTCACAGATTCGAGCGGTCAACTACTTACTCTCATAATTCAATACTGTAGGTTTAAATGTGTTTCACGCATATACTCTAAATTGTGCTTATGGCATTGACATTGTCATTTTACTAGGTCTTTGTCATAGTGCTCGAAGTTCCTGAGGATTTCCCTGATGAGTCGAACTGGTGGTGCTTAGCATTAGACATGAAGGCTCAACAGTTGTGGATGAAAGATTCTATGTACCCTGACCCGTTCACCACACATGCCAAAGAGTTTGATCTTCTTGTACTAACACTAATGCCTTTCATTCTAAACAAACATGGTATTTACTAGGACCGTTTGGTTATGTGTAATGTGTTTGTGAAAGTACAGGTTAGGGGTATCGACGTCCTTTTCCGACTCTGTGACCCAGCATGGAAGGCTGGTCAGCTACATTCTTGGACGAGATGCACTGTTGAGATCTTAAAGCCAAAGGATAAGTAAGCACTTGTTTGCTTATGTGCTTACTGTGCCAATAACTTTCAGCCTAACTTTAAGGTCAAAAGAACGTATGTTTAACTTTTATGTTGATTGTGGTCCTCCAATTTGCAGCTCATACTATGGTGTTCTTATGCTGGCGTGTATTAAGTTCTTTTCCAGAAGATTCACCACGAGGTTCAGTGTGGTAAGTGGTGTTTACATCTTTCTTTTCTATTAAGATCTATGGAGTGGTTGGCTACAATGTTTGTTCATACATTTACAGGGGAATACACCTAGTGCTCAGGCAAATTTTTTCTTGGACGACGTGCAGTGTGAAGTGAACGAATTGAAAGATGGTCTGGGGGATATGATTTCAGGTTCTAGGAAAACAACGCGAAAACTGTGATGTGTCATGTCAGTGGCCTGGGCAATGGTGTAATTATTTTCTGGGGTTGAAGTGTGGTATCTCTGATTGCCGTGTATTGAACATTTAAACAGTTGCTGGCAAACGTACTCCTCCCTGCGGTGGTCTCTCCACTCAAGGGTAACTATTAGGTTGCTTTGGCCGTGGAGGTGGTCTGTTCACTCATGGCTAAATGTTTGATGTGATGTCCTGATGTCTGCATTTGATGTTTTGTTGGGATAACTATTGGCGCGACTCGTTGTAATAGAATTTTGCAAGTACATTATGCAGCTACTGTACGCTAATTACTTTTTGCAAACAAACAGGCTAATTTAAACTCAACATACAGTGCCATACATTGCAAGTGCCACTGGTGGAATGTAATTGATATTGTTACAATTTAGGTCACAATTGTATAGTACAAGTGCCATTTGTCTTTACAATGGTACATTAAATTGGTGTGGGTTGTACAATTTATTCGTCAATGTTTTCATGAATTAGGATGGAAGTGCAATTCAGTAAAAAAAGCACAACGACATTCAACATTACAATCCATAATTCATGGAATAATGCTAAGGATCGGAAATGGTAATCCAACTACAAAGAAAACATTGAAAGTAATCCAACAGTTCACCCTGCATTTAGATGACAAGTTTTGGACTGATTGCCTCTTATGAAAGGGTTAGTATTCTCCTACCACTGGTTTACTAGTGGTACAATTAAAAGTACTAAACGTACCACTTTAATTGCAGTTGTGCATATTCACTTCACATACACAGCTTAGGTACGTATCATGTGCACAAGATGCATATTAAAGGGGTACACAACATAGGTACGTAGTATGTACACAACATAGGTACGTACCACTACGATTAAATGTACCACTATCACAGTTAACTTTATTTCCTTAAGTGGTAAGTTTTCGAGAAATAAATGCACCACTATCACAGTTAAGTGGAATTCTGAAGGTTCCCCCTACTCGTAATAACTTCAGAGCTAATACAGGCATTAAACAATCAAGGCTAAGGCATAATCGAACATAGTGAAGGCATAGTCGAACATAGTGAAGGCATAACCAAACATAGTCTTAGGCATACAAGAAAATAGTTTTAGGGAAAGGCAAATAAAACTACAGTTCTAATTAAACAAAGACACTAAGCATTGAGGAGTATTTAATCCCTAGCATCTTCATCATAGATCTTTACAAATCCCCAGTGGTGGTTGGAGCCATCGA